CAATGTTCAATCATGAAGTACAAAAAAAAACATCCAATTTAGTCTATACCAGTTTGTCATAATATAGCAGCATGGGCATGATTGACCGCCCACGGTTGCTACTCTGTTATTGCCAGACCAGCTGTAATTACACAGAGAACTAGGCAATACCAGCGACGTCCGCTCCCGAACACAGGTCAAGAAAGAAAGGGGTAAGAATGTGTTGACGTGACACTCGCTTTGATGGAAGCCGAGAACACCTCTGCACTTCCACGAGGAATCACTGGGATATTGGGTAATAGGGTTGGGTTTGCAGCAGGGTTCGTTTCGATAAACTATAATCTGAATTGATGTCCTAACGATCATATAACGCTAAGGAGCTTAGGATTGAACCTACGGTCTTCAGCTCAGTAAGCAAAAACGTTTGCCACTAGGCAGACGAGCTCTTTTTGAATCATCGAGTTGCTGTTATTACCATGTAGTCATGTTAACAAATAAAACGATTGACGAATCTTGAATGTGGATGGACGTGAGATTAGACTCATGATGTTCTGCTCAGTAAGCAAAAACGGTTGCTCTAAGGCCACCGAGCCCCTTATATCACATTATACTGTTACTCAAGTTTTTATAACTATTCAAATCCAGCACCGACGACAACGAAAAGTTTTACAAAATTCACGATAAACAAGCGATTGTACCATACATTTTTAATATGAAAGGACCTGGGACCGCGTTTTTCTACTCAGTAAGCAAACCACTGCAACCGGCGATCTTTCAAATCCTAAAACTAAAAGCTACGAAAGAGTACTTAGGCCTTGATTAAGCTCCACTTTCACGCGTCGTTCAATGTTTCGATTTGCTCTTTACTCATGGTTCAGGCAATCATAACAAGCTATGACCAACGTGACGATTATTTAAGCCCTGGTTAAACAAGCTATTCAAATGAAATTACGTTCTCGAATTTCACTTGGTATGTAATGAACAACATAAATACGCGATAATTCATATAGTTTCAGTAGTTGATGGTTAATTTCAAATATACTAACGGTACTGCCTACGGTGACTACGACGGCGCCTACGACAACGACAACAGCGAATTTGTAACTTACCATTTGTCTAGGATATAACACCTTTGCCCGGCACCTCCACTTGAGCTTCATGTCTGCTATCTGTCACTGTTTGCAAAAATATCTAATAGCAATTACCTTTGTTATAATACTTCCTGCATTGCCATAGTCATCTGGGAGGACGTCTAGTGATTTCCCCAGGAACTGTTCACGGCCACCAGCTACCGCTCATCCAGTCTTGGGCGTATCCAGCGAGGCAGGGGAATTCAACTGACTTGAACGCGAATTGAACGTGTAAACCATGCCAATCAACTGACTTGATCAACTCACTTGACTTGAACGAAAGTTGAGCCAGTCTCAACTTTTTCGTTCAAGTCAAGCAAAAAGGAAAAAAAAAGAAAATGGCCGCTTCTGAAAATCTGCATGCACATCATTAAAGGTTAAAATAATTGGTGGTATTCTTCGTGTGACTTCGGTCATAATATAAATTACAAATAAATTACAATACTAGTCAAGATTAGCCACTTATATTTCCTTCTCCCCTGCAAATCTGGTCTTAAATAAGAGGAATGCTGTAACTGACCACGGAATCATTAGGGCAAAGAATTCGTGTGACGCGGTTGCGGCGCTTTTGCGGGAATTGAACGTACCTACAATCGACGCAAGGGCTAAAATGTTTGGTGGTGACTGATGGATTCAATGCATTCTTCCACCAGATGACCAGGGTTATGACGGAGAATAAAGTGAAGCTGACGAAGCTGCCCCTAAATTGTAGGAGACAGGAAATATGATATTGTTGTTGTTGAGTGGAATAAATTTCCCATTTGGGCGTTTTGAAAGCATACATTGCACCAAGTAAAATACATTTTAACACAAAAATCGGGAATGGGTGTAATAATAAAGTCCAGGATTAACTTACCTCAATGAAATTTTTCAAGGATTCGTAAATAGCTTCTAAGGTTTCTACCAGAAATGTAGAGGTTGTACATTTTGGTACTCTATATAAAAATTCCAGACTCTTGAAGGAGTCTCCGGTTGCGAGATACGTCAAGGTAATCATGAGCTTTATATGAACCGGTATAGCCAAGCGCATCAATGTGTCCTTTTTCATAATTTTGGTCCATCTTTCATCAATAGTTCTTCGAACTGCACGGCATTCATCCTCAAAAAATCTCAAAAAAATAGCCTAGTCAGTAAAGGCACGGTATTACCAAGCCAGAGGCGACGGGTTCGATTCCCGGTATGGTCGAGGGAATCTTTCCGGTTGGAAATTTTCTAGACCTCCCTGGGCATAGAGTATCATTGTGCTTGGCACACAATATACATATTTATGCTCTCAATTAATAACTGTGGATGTGCATTTAGAACACTAAGTTGAGAGCACGCAATAAGCTAATATGCACTAAACAATAAGCTTGAAATGCGAATAACAAGAAGAAGATATAACACCATCTCATACTAATCTCTACATTGATTCAATGATGTACGGAGCACTCATTCCGAATGCTCGGTGAACCAGCGACTTTAGTCGCTAGGCTCTTCACAGATGACCATGGCAATGCAAGAAAATTTGTTTCCGTTGAACGAAGTATCACACCACAGGTAGGGTAAACGCTCCTATAGTTGCGGTACGTTAGAAGCGTTAGGTTCCTATAGTTGTGTATGGAGACTCCGTACACAACTATAGGAGCCTAACGCTACTAACGTACCGCAACTATAGGAGCGTTTCCCCTAAATGCAAAATGGAAACATAGTGCAACCGGGCCAATTATTTTTTATAAATTAAATATCAAACACTAAATTCGGGCCAGGTTTAAAAACAATGTTTTTGAACCTGGAAGTGTGTATGTAATACCAATATCCATTTCATAACGGTGATGCACACATACGAAGTTTATTGTGAGGGAAAGTAACCTCGGAATGGGTGTGACTCTCCAGCAGTGTTCGGAAAATCATTCTCAAATCTCATTCATTGAGCCTCCCTGCGAGAATAAACTCACGTGTGAATGAGGCAAACAAAATTCACGCTTGAGATTCTCATGCATATTCACGCACTCACACTCACAACGCCGAAAAATCATTCCAGTTTTAAACTCATAAAAACCACTCAAACGTCAATTGATATCATGCCTATGCATGTTGGGCAAGTTTTCCAACTCCTGATGCACAAACAATAGTAACAGCAATGAATAACGCCAAAATATAAAGCAACGAATTTTTGAACCTGAAAACTCATCGGTGATTTTGGCGACGTTGAATTTTGCAAGGCAAAACTCATAGGCGCATAAACTCATGCATGAGATTTGAGATTTTGAGTTTTTGCGAACACTGTCTCCAGACATTCTGAAATGAGTTGCTGGATCTGGCAATAGAGCTATCACATTCTAAATCCCGGACTAAAACTGTCCACAATAACCACTGCCGGCCAGTGGGGGTTAGATTGAATATGGTTAGATTGAATATACACACACCTTCTTCGATTTGTATGAAATTTTGCATAATGTTGATTGTTACGGGCAATAATTCAAATTTTTATTAAACAGTGGTTATTTTGGATCGTGAATATATTTTTCGAACTGGCGTCTTTTACATTTTTCAACAATTTTACCAAAAGTTCGTGTTGTCTGGTTTTGTCAATTTGCAAGCGTCCATAGTTTTTGATATTCCAAAAGTATCTATTTGTCGTAAGTGTTCTCAAAATCACAAAAATATACCGTGTTTATTTTTCCCAAAAATAAATTATTTTTCTCTACAAATAGCCCTTAGAAAGTCATTTCAATAATAAGTTACGTTGTCGTGCTACAATATATTTAAAAATGTAAAAAGACATTTTGAGAAAAAAAAACCAAATATAAAATGACCTAATTGTAGCAAAAATGCGAATGCGCACTACAAACACTTATGCAAAGTTTCATGCAAATCAGAAAAGATCGAGTTTTTCCGTTTCGTTATTACTCGCAAAACCTGGAAACGTCGAAAGTGCAATTAGCCAGGATTTGTTGCCCTATTGAACACGAATGTTGTCAATTACATAAGGGGCTGTCCATAAACTACGTAGACAGTTTAGGGGGGGGGGGTTGACAATTATTCACGGCCCATACAAGTTTTAATTTACGCAGGGGCGGGGGGAGGGGGGGGGGTCAACAATCCCAAAAAACAGGCCGTAAGTAAACGCATTTTGATAGTTCACTTGATGAACGTGAGAGGGCCAATTTGATTAGGGGTCGTTCATGAAATACGTAGATAGTTTCCCTTGTAAAAAAATAAGTACATACTAATTTTGAAAATTTGAATTTATTCTTATATATAGTGTATATACACAACACAATACAAAAAAGTAATTAAAATGTCACATGCAAGCTTTGTCACATAAGAATTAGTTGAAAGAAACGAGAAAATCAATGCAATCAAAATTACTGTTTGTTGACTTGCGTATGTTTCGGTTTCGGTTTAATTTTACATGACATCTCGTTTAAAAATAGTTATTTCTAAGTGTGTTATTTATGCAAAAAGTAGCAAAATGTAAATGTTTTCAGCACGAGCCGTGCAATAATACGACGAGTGCTAAAAATATAGAATTTTGAGCCAGCTGCATACAAAATGTTTGTTCTCAAAAGAGTGTCGAAAAGTAGCACTTTACGGTAGAGTGTGCTGAAAAGTGACACGTGTCGGCACAGCTATTTTAGTTAGGAAAAATAGGCAATTATGTTATTCTAAAGTGGGTCGAAAAGTAGCACTTTTCGGAATAGTGTGCCAAAACACATTATTGTTATAAATTGAAAAAAAGTAAGCATAATCAAAATATTCTTCCGTCACCAACTTTACCCGGGTCACCAGCACAAGTGCTGCGCTTAGCCGAACACAGTTAGCTTATAATCTCTTGGTCTCGTGATTTTAATTTCAGTTTTAGTTGAGATGTGATCGGACGCGTTTCGTACCACGCTTTTGTTGGCAACTTCTTTCTCCGACGCTTCTTTCACCGCGCGGAGGGTGTATGTTTCACGCTGTTTTAAAGTGCGCTTTAGTTGTTATTGTTTGGTCCATCATCTGCACTTCATCCGTCACCACTTACCTCCATCACTGCATCGCTCACAGCAGCATATAGCCATAACGATACGCGGCGCAGTAAACGGTAACCAACGACGACGACGACGACAACGTCGCGACGACATAGGACGCCCAATGGAATGGGTGTCGATGCGGCGCACTCTCGATAGCACATGGCTCTTCGTCGATGCTGCTTCTTCAGTTAGTGTGCTGCAGTAAATTTATCCAGATGAATGGGCACAAGTAACTACTGTCACTGCTCGCAAAAGTGGACTTTTTAGTAGCTGACCGGTTACGGAATAATGTAGCGAGAGTGAGTTTGAGTGATGCTGGATCCGAATTGCTACCCAACACTGAACAATTAGTAAGTGTAGGACGAGAGAAGTGGATCGTTGGTGAAAAGAGTTTTTTTTTTAACGATTTGTTTTGTTGATAGTCTGGCGAGTCTGTGGCTGTTCCTGGGTGAAACGTGTCGGCGGCGTAGTGAAGAAAACAGAGCATTTTGGCTGTTTTCCGGGCGTGCGTGGAACAAAAGCATCTCTGTAGACAAGGCGGAGCGAGGAATTTCATAAGCGCAAATTTGAATGTTTCGGAGAGATTTGCATCAACAACTGTTCAAGTATGGCTGGAGGAGATTACAGCATGGTTGAAGAACGGATTGGAGCCCCCAGCGAAGTGTTCGATGTGTATGAAGTGCTGAGCAATGAAGTTGACCGCGTGGGAGAGGAGTTCAGTATGAACGATCAGCTGTTTGAACCGAGTTCGGAGGGCCTAGCACTGTACGTGTACATTGGATTTGTCGTCGGCGGAGGAATTTTGCTCAATTTGATTCTGATCAAAGGAATTTTACAGGCAAAATACAGTGGTAAGTATATGAGTGCGTTGGCATGAGAAATGTGTCTTATGCAAAATGCCAGACGTGAACATAATTCACCAGTTGAGGTGCGAACCTTGCCAAAAGGCGTTTCTAATTGAGATTGAAATTTATGAATACACTGGCTTCCCGTGATTCGCAACGTGATTTTTTTTTCTGGATTCGTTGCTTGATATTTTTTTTTTTCCTTTATTAACGAGACTTTCAGCCTTAGGCTGGTTCATCTCTAAACCTCCAGAGGGGAGGCTCTCAACAAAGGTAGGGATGGATGTTCCAGATGGGAACTCCTGAAATCATATTTTTACAGAGTATTTTTAAACAGAGTTTTTTGTTTTGTTCCTGTCTCGTTTCAGTTAAGGGGTTTCTGGTTCCGGTTGGTCCGTTTACGTTGCGTTAGGTCTGGTGTATAAAGGGTTTGTGTTCGTTCGGGTCGTGGTGATATTTTCGTTCCTTAGCTTTCCTTGTTCGTTACGGTTGGTCATGATAGGGATTTTAAGTGTTATATATGGTTGAAGAGTCCGGCTTCACGTAAAAAGGCGAGTAGGGCCGCTATTCTTGTTGGCTCATTACCTAGAGCATCGCGGATATTCTCAGGAATGTCGTAGCATGTTCTAGCTCCTTCATACTTTGGACAATGACAAATGAAGTGTTCCACAGTTTGCGGCGTGAGGCATAGATCGCATATCCTTCTAAAAGGCCCATCTCCCTTGTAGTTGTGGGAGATGTTTGTATGGCCAGTTCGGAGACGGGATATCACGTCCTGCTCTCGGTGCAGTGATGGATCGTCCCATCTAGTAATATTCTCTTTTAATTTTCTAATAGCTGGTGTTCTAGCTGCTATCCAGTCGCGGCTCCAGGAATCCTCGATAATTTTGGTTACCCATTTTTTTAGATCTGGTCCAGGTACCTCTCGCGTATATTTGGCCATGTGCCGACCAGAGGCTGCTAGATGGTCCGCCTCTACATTCCCCCGAACACCACAGTGCCCTGGGATCCAAACGAATGTTGTGTTATTTGGTGCATGTTCCTGGATCGCCTGGATCCAGGGGTGTCTACTCGTTTCGGACTCAAGGGCAGCAACCACACTGGCGGAGTCGGTGAAGATGGCTATCGGTCGTTCATCGGAGGTGGTGGCAGCGATGAAAGCCGCGGCGGCTTCGGCGGAGAATATCGAACACTGGTCTGGCAGTCGATGACATTCGCTGAGATTGGGACCACAGATCCCGATCCCCACCTTCCCCTGAGCGACCGAGCCATCGGTGTATCTGATTGAGTATCCTTCGTATTTTCGTTTTTGAAGGTCTAGGACCGTTTGTGCCACTGCTAAAGGGTTGGAACCTGCTTTAAACTTATTTTTGATTGTAGGGTCGGTTCGAATTTTTGGCAGGCTCCAACCCCTGGCTCCACACCAGTGGACCCTGGACACCGGTGGGAGTACTTGGTTGGATGATTCTCTGAGGAGTTGGTTAGCCTCAACGAGGAGGAAACCTTCCTTCCTGCTACCGGACGTGTTTTCACAGTGGCTGATGGCTCGATGGCAGATTGTTTTGGTTATGTACCTGTTGAAGGGGAGCACTCCGCCCTCGATACAGGCAGCTATTCCAGGAGTACCTGGGAGGAGGCCTGATGATAATCGTAAGGCTTGCTGGTAGACGGGTGCAAGTTTTTCCACCAGCAGAGGCATTGCGAGGTAGGTTGCTTCAATCCCGTATGTTAGGCGTGAGTTTATGATAGCTTTTGCAACGTTCAGACGAGTCTGCCGGTTGGCATTTGGGTGGCGCCCAGCCAGAGTTTTCAGCAGGTTGATTCGCTGTTTACAACTGCTTTTAACCTCGTTGAAGTGCGGGCCGAATGTGAGGTGACGGTCGAAGCAGACTCCGAGGATTCGAATGGTTTTATGGAATGGGACCGGTGTCCCGTTGATGAGGATCTTGGTGCTCAAGACCTTGTGATTGGTCGAGCATACGTGTGTATACCCGCTTTTGCTTGCGGAGAGCTGAAATCCAGCTGACGAAGTTCAAAAAACGTACCGTAAAACAAGGAATCTTTTATAATGCGGGTAACTTTGATAGTAGAATATAATGATTAAATTTACTCTTGGCACTATTTCCGAATTGAAAACATTGGTCCCATTTTTTAGCTTAGGATATAAACTTTGATATCGTATAGTGCTTTATATAGTATGTTTTACATATTTTCCAAATATCTGAAGAAAAAAATTCTTGGCACTCGAACATATTAAATCACATATTAAATGTATTTCCGATACAGCCATCACAAATTTAATCTTGCCTTCTTATTTCATATGATATCCGGAGGGGGAGGGGATTTAACATGCACGTTTTTTCAAGTCTCATTCCTCATTGTGGTGGACACGCCGTGATCCACCATTAGCCGCTGACCTAGTCCTGCTTGATGCAGGACCTAGTGCCACGCCGTCCGAAGCGGTAATGAGCAGAGGCATGAGAGCAAGTGGTATTCGTTTATGATGACTGGGTTTGGGAAAAAAAAGGCTTATTTCATGAAATCAGTGATAAAATTATCATTTGTACATTTTCAAAAGTTTAATTACAGAAAAATTGGAAAAATATTTATTTCAACATGTTCATAATGTAATATCCTATCGATTGGCGTATTTGGATTTTAATTTCATCTATAAATGACAAAGTTACAAGCGTTCAAAACCTAACACTCCTTCACCACACATATTTTTTGATTTGCACCCCAGTATAGTCGACAAAGAAGTAGTTCTACGTCAAAACATACTGATGAAGTCATGTTGGGAAACGGCGCCGGTGGTGTAGTGGTTAGCGTGATTACTTCTCATCCCAGGTTCAATCCCAGTCGGGGCACCGCCGGGATGTACTGAGACATAACATCTCTGATCTCTGAAGGGAAGTAAAGTCGTTGGTCCCCGGTTCATGAGTTGATGGGTCGATAGGTAGGGTCCAGGTGTGAGAACTGCGTCCCTGGCATCGGTAGCATTGGTGCTCAGCACGGAAAACAAGATCGACGGAAAACAAATCAAGGAAAAAAAAAGTCATGTTGGGAAAAACAGGAAGGTACTGTACCAATATTGTTGATCTTTTAAAGTATAGAGTACATACGTCACGGTGTATTTTGTAGAACAACTTCAACATAAAAAAATGAGCAAGTCTGATATTTGCACACATGTAATAATAGGTTTAACCTATCATTTGCGACCTCGATTGAAATAATTGGTCGGGGGTCTAGAGCTACTTTTTTTAAAGTTTTTTTTAGCATTTAAACTATTGCCCCGTTACGTGGGTAGATCACCTTTTCGTGGTACGTTACGGAATGTAAGATCTACCACCGATTCCTAGTCCTGATTACTTCAAACTAGGGAAACAGGATTTTTCAGTAATGAAAGGAACACACCTTAGTCCCGTGACTTTAGTTTAGTGCATGTCGTATTATTCCATCACTATTGAGAAATGATGAAGTATTCGGTTTTGATACAGTTGTCATTCTTGCCTTCATCGCAAGGAATCGATTCTAATTGAAAGGTCCCGCTATTTATACCATTCGGAGTGTTGAAACACCCTCCAAAGGCGCGCCCCTTTGTCAGTCAAAAATGGATTCCTTAGCAACCAAATTAAGGAATGACACCGATAATTACCATGCATCACATAGATGAAGACTAATCAACTCATTTTTTCCTTGTTTCAAGATCATCCTCGGTGGACAAAACCGAGTCTTGTCTCTATCAACAAGCCATAAAAAGTAACAAGGATTAAGATGTGGTCCTTTCATTACTGAAAATCCTGTTTCCCTGATTTTGTAGTCTTGGCTGAATCCAGCGCTCTACAAATTCTTCAATTCTCTAAAGATATTCAGAAATTATTTTTTCTTGAAGGCAAGCTTTGAACACGTTTCGAACGTTCTCGAAGAAAACCAAACTTGGTATAAATATGGGAACCCTAAACTGAGGATTTTAAGAATAAAATTCGAAGTCAACCATTGAAAAACAAAGAATTGAGGAATAGAATAACAAATAAATAGTTAATAGCAGCAGTACGTGAATTGTTTTGATTAACCCTGGTACCCGGTGGTGAACCTTGTGCTGTCTGTTGTGCTGTCGTTCCGCGTAAATCGTCGTTTGTTCACGACCGAATACAAAGCATTGGTTTTTCGAACCGGATACTGGACTGGCGTGCTGTTGCTAGGTGAGAAAAGCGTTTTGCGTGGCTTTGACAACGAGAAACCCCGTGATTTCATTCCGCCATTGCGACGCCCTACACAGAAAAAGTTATGAATTTAATGGTGATATAAACATCCATGCATGTAAAAATTCATGCATGTAAACTTCCTTTTCACGTAAACTAGCAGTTTGCAAGACATGTTCCAAACAAAGGTGGACAGTTGCATACAATATTTGGAATACTGCATGACATGTCTCATTAATATGTAAACTTGTAGGATATATGACGCTCCATTTATGAGCATCATAGTAACGTTAATTTACACTACATGTTTTTAGCTGTGTAGTGTGTGTTGATATTCCTCGTCGTGACGTTCGTGAGTGTTTTTCGCCCTTCCGTCACGGTTACCCTAGAAACGTTATTCATCCCAAGCAACATTGCAAGTTTTATCGTGGTTTTATAGCATTCTACAAGTCTAAATCATGGTCTACACGTGTCGTACTAAATCGTGCGGATATTTCGTGAGTGTGTGTTCCACCGTTGCGATTGTAGTCCGAACGTGAACCGTGCCAAGAAAACCTGCGAAGTGTGGAGTATTCCTTCCGAGTAACCAGAAACCTTCGCGTGTGAGAGATGTTACCTCGCATCCCACCTCGGAAAATGAAAAATTCGGAAGATGTAAAGGTGTTGATCCAGAAGCGTGACCAAGTAAAGGTGAAGGTCACACGGATCTTCAATTCCCTGACTGAAGCAGAAACTACGAACAAGAGGCTACCGCTTCCCTTATTGCGGGCTTACGCCAAGAACCTGCAAATGATTTATCAAGAA